GTGTGTGTGTGTATATAAAAATCTATACATTAAATTATGTATGTATATATAGATATACGTTCGGACTACGATAAAGCCATTACAATGCGACGAGGAAACAAAAAAATATGAATACTCCCCTGATATCCATAATCGCAGAATAATTCAGACGCACTACAATAAATAGCATAGATTGACGACAAACCATTAGCCACGGTCTACATCCCGAGCACCGAAAAGTGAAGAGAAAAATAAGACCCTATAAAAACCTTCCCCGCTCCGACACAATATCCAAATCGCACCACTTGATTCAATACAAACGAACAGCCTACTAGATAACACCTATATAATAAGTACCAACACAAGCACATCAACGATATACACTAACCTCGTCATACAAGCAACGGTCAAGCTGGGTCTTCGCATCGTTGCACTCGCCCAGGAACTTTCTAAAGGAGTTCTCTCTGTGACAGGCCTCTAATGCGTCGATAGCATCCTGGCAGGTGGGGTGCACATGTCGAGCCAATTGTGGGTGCATTCTGGTAAGTGGCTTGTATTGAAGTAGTTGGATGTACTTGAGTACGTATTGAAGTAGTTGGATGTACTTGAGTACGTATTGAAGTAGTTGGATGTACTTGAGTACGTATTGAAGTAGTTGGATGTACTTGAGTACGTGTTGAAGTAGTTGGATGTACTTGAGTACGTGTTGGAATAGTTGGATGTACTTGAGTACGTGTTGTGAATAGTTACATATAGAAGCAACTACGTAAAATAAAAAATAGAACGAAGGTCTAAAATCCGTTGTATGATGATGTTGAATGAAGAGTATGTATGGTAGAATATATAGAAATATCTTTAGACTCCCCCGCCACCCCCAGGGGGCCACCCCCAGGGGGCCCAGAGCTGTCAGGGGGGTTTTTTTTTTGAAACAATGGCAAATAAACTGGAAAACCGATGATGCAAATGAAATGGATACAGGAGCTATTTATTGTATTTATTTATTTGAGCTATTTATTGTATTTATATATTTGAGCTATTTATTGTATTTATATATTTGAGCTATTTATTGTATTTATATATTTGAGATATTTATTGTATTTATTTATTTGAGCTATTTATTGTATTTATTTATTGGAGCTATTTATTGTATTTATATATTTGAGATATTTATTGTATTTATATATTTGAGCTATTTATTATATTTATATATTTGAGATATTTATTGTATTTATTTATTTGAGCTATTTATTGTATTTATTTATTGGAGCTATTTATTGTATTTATTTATTTGAGCTATTTATTGTATTTATTTATTGGAGCTATTTATTGTATTTATTTATTTGAGCTATTTATTATATTTATTTATTTATAAATAATGCAAAGTTTGGTGCTTGTGTATTGCTGAGTCTACATTCCAGTCTACATATGTGACACCATGATACTGGCACCGGAAATACTATATACAATACAAACTCTACACATCCTCGTATCTTGTTGTTTTACAAGGAAGTATATATTGTAAAGCGATCTTTGATTTAGTCAATCTCAAGTTATATATATTCTATCATGAGCGCCCCTACGAATACTTCATCAGCACTTCTCGATGTCGGAGAAACCGCATCATCCTCGCCACTACGTATAGTTTCAAAGGAAAAAGAAAAGGATCAAGACATCTCACAGCAAGCTCCGCCGAAGATAACTCGGCTCCCGCCAAGTCAAGGTACTTTTGACAATTAATGATGGTGTATGTACGGTTGTGACGTTGACTGGACGTGGTACATATGCAAAGCATAGTTTAGAATCCCAACCTTTCTGGTGGTTCAACGG